AACAATCGACTGAAAGAGAATACTCAAGTGCGCAAGATACTAACTTATTACACGACTCGGGCAGTCAGGGGGCCAGTAACTAATATCAACCAATCAAAATGCTCTATTGCCGATCAATATTCTCTCAGTATTGGACCAGGCACTGTCCCGAATGGTCCCGAATGATACCGCACTTGTGTCCCTTTGAACTTCAGTCGTATAATAAATCTCTTATTAACCAAGCTTGCTCGGGACCGTATTGGGAGAATATCGGCCCTCGGTCTTTTTTGTACGGACCTCGCTGCGCTCGGTCCGTACTGTCAAGACCTCGGGCCGATATTCTCCCAGTACGGCCCTCGCGCTTAGTTAATAAGATATATGTAACAATCCAATGAGAGGGAATCCTAAATGTGCACGAGATGCTAACGTAACAATAAAAAAAAAAAAGAGAACCATAAAAGTCCGCGAGATCAAGGCAATTGAGTTGACCTGAAAGGGCGCGAGATACTAAAGTAACAATCGAATGAAAGAGAAGGCAAAAAGTGCACGAGATACTAACGTAACAATCCCATGAAAGAACCATCAAGTAAATACTAACGTAGTAGTCGAATGAAAGAGGATGGTGAAAGTGAACGAGATACCAACGTAAAATTGTATTATTCCGGCAAAGTAAAAAACCATTGAGCTTGCGATGCCTGTGGCCACATATTTCCTTTTAACTAGCAACTTACAAGGTTTGCCCCTCGGCGATCCCAGGGATCTTTGCGTAAATACAAGCATCCGATTAATGGAAACTCATTCATTATGGGTCGTTTAAATGCTGCCTGCTAGTTGTTAACATCTGTTTCAGTAGAGGAGTCATTCGATGTTAGTGCACCAGCTTTTCAAAGCTAGTCTTCGAAAGGAGATCAGTGACAAAATAAATGAAGAGAGCGGAAAGAAATTTCATTAAAAGAAATTAAAAAACCGAAGCCATTGATTAAAATTACCGAGTGCATATCATACCTAAAGCATTTGACTGCAAGAAAAATCATGAAAATGAGAAGACATATTTGACGCTGAAATGGTGTGGACAGTCATACGTATATATCGTCAAACACAATGACATCGGCGCTTTTACAAGTTAGGTAGCCCAAACATGCAAGCGCTAGCTGTCCTAACATAACTACGCTAGCTTGTGTAAATTTTGTAAATTTTCAGAAGTATCAAGAAATGAGTCATCATATAAGAATAACAAAGAAAAACGCTAAGAACTGATAGCAACGGCTGATGAGGGAACAATATGTTTCCGCTTAAAACGGTTTCCGTGATGACTGAGAAGATAACATGAAGAGGATAATTTCTTGGAGGAAAGAACTAACGCATATGAGCTTTAAATGTCAAAAATAACATTGGGCCAAAATAGAAAAATTCTAAAAAACAAAACCAAGTGACGACTCTTCTAATGGGACGACGCATTCGTCTTAATTAATCTATGTTCAATAATCAATCGATCGATCGATCGCGTACCTATCGACGTGTGATTCTCCTTATCTTTGCCCTACGTCCCATAGGACAGTTCAGGGTACTAACTTGCCTGTACCAAAGTTATTTCACAAGGTATGATTATCAAAGCTTAAGTATTAAACCCAAGTCTGTCTCTTCAAGAGTCTCTCCTGTACAAGCGTTGAGTTGCGATCGATGATCGAGGGATTCAGTTGAACGCAGGTAGAGCGACTGCGTTTGAACTTTACTCAGTTCCCAAGGCTAGAAAACTGTCTTTAATAACTATTTTCGATCGACAGAAAATGTATTTCCATCAGAATATTAAGAAAAAATTAGAATAATTTTAGCTTTAAGTTAGCTCTTTTGTTTATTTTCTTGCTCTTGGCGTACTTTAGGCTGATTTAAAAATGTGACCGCAAGAGATAAACAACCGGAAATTATATTGTTTTGAAGGTACAAGTAATATATTCCCTACCTTTAGGAATGAACGATATTGTCGACTTAGGGAAGAAAATGTGGCGGGTAATAGTTCGTGGCACTGATTGATACAAGTTGAAGTCAAAGAGAGTTTGCTCATTTAAATCCAATGTACGTGGCAGAGTACTATTGTGGCCCAGAACACATGTATGTTAATGATGGTGAATGATGGTGGATCATGGTGGAGCATTTCCTCATAGCTCAGGAAATTAGAAAGAAAAAGATCGAAATGAAATAAAATATAACAAAAAAAAGAGATAAAATAGAACAAAATAAAAGAGTTCTTCAGTTATCTTCAAGAAGAGTACTACAGCTTCGTTCGAAAACCAGCACAGTTTTAAGTTCAGAGTTATGGTGGTTGCGTGACATACAGCTCCGATCGCGTTTGTTGAAAAATACAGACTTATCTGGTGACTTTTAGTCTTTCTAGGAAATTGAGGGTTATAAAAAGGTTTTTGAAGATGTTTGTTGGTCTAGTTTAGATAATCAGTTGGTTGGATAGCCAAAGTAAGTTCCAGATGTTTTAATTTCCGGCCGCCGGGCTGGTGAACCAAAGATATCCACCGACATAGGGTAAAGTAAGAACCAGACTGGACTGGACTATGTTTTGGACCATTTTTTGGACCATTTTTGGACCCTTTTTTGGACCCTTTTTTGGACCCTTTTTTGGACCCTTTTTTGGACCATTTTATAAGGGGGGAAGCACACCATTAGTACTCAGGGAGGGGTGGGTGCGGTCTATGAGTACTGAGGGAGGGGTGGGAGGCAGACTGTTATCACTCAAGGAGGGGCGGAAGGTGGTTGTAGTTGTAAACACTACTGGTTAAAGGATAGCGCAGGCTAGTTAAGGGAGCTTTGACTCGATCGTACAAATTATTTTAATCGGTTGCTATAATGATGGAATACGAGTGTTTTGATTTCCTGCCATTCGGTCTTGATGTTCAGGTTTAGATCTCCTCGAATTATTGCTTTGCCTCGATAGAATACAAGCAGGCGAAGCCTTTCAAAATTTTTTACCACTTTTTCTCAAGGCAGTGATTGATATCGCCGAGTGATTTTTGCATTCAAGGAATGTGGCACACCGCGACTGGAAACCAGGGAATGTCTATTTCGGAAGCCACTATATATGGTTTGTCCCACGCTCAACGTTGGACGTCTGCGCGTGAACCAATGTTGTCTTCGAAATGTGGAAAAAAAATTTTTTCGAAGTTTGCGTTTTCGAGGTCTGCGTTTTTGAGGTCTGCGTTTTTGAGGTCTGCGTTTTCGAGGTCTGCGTTTTCGATATCTGTGGTCTGCGTTTTCGAGGTTTGTGTTTTCGAGACACTAGAGAGGTTGCTTTCTACGACTGTACCAACAATGATTTTATATAGTAAACGTATAAATGTTAAAATTGCGATAGCGCTTGTGAATTCCATATGCGGCTAAGTCAAGGGCTGAGGACCGGAAATTCCGTGATCTCGTCTGATAACATCAGTGACAAAGGAAGCTGAGATAGACAAATCTGGTAATTACATACTGTATAAACAAAGGAAAACTGATGTTGCACAAGTCGCTTAAAAAGGCACACGCATAACCTATGCCATGCCAGACTGGCAACTCAACAGTGGAGGATCGTAAACGCGATATTTTCGATAAAAATTAAAGTCCAGTGTTTACGTGGCAGTTTCGCTTTCGCATGGCAAAAAAATTAAAGAAACGCCTCGGCCCAGCGCAAAAATTTTGATATACAAAAAGTCAGTCGAAAAACGGATCAAAATAATTTGCGGGATCGAGTAAAAGCTCCAATAATCAGTAGTGTTTAGAATTACAACCACCTCCCAACTTCCATGAGTAACAACACTCTGCCTCCCGCCCCTCCCTCAGTACTTATAGACTGCACCCACCCTTCCCTGAGTACTAATGGTGCGCTTTCCCCCTTATAAAATGGTCCAAAAAATGGTCCAAAAAATGGTCCAAAAAATGGTCCAAAAAATGGTCCAAAAAATGGTCCAAAAAAATAGTCCAGTCCAGTCGATATTTTACCCCATGCCGATATCCACCGACATGGTGGCTCTATTCTGGGCTCCGTAAATTTGCGCAAACAAAGAGACCTAAAAAGTTGGAGAAGTTCTTCCTGTCTCCCATAACATTGGAATTTTTTAACCTTATCCACTGAATTTCTTTCTCTCGATGCGTAATAGTGAAAACGTTCAATTTACGACTCGGCCACAAAGAGTGAGCATATAAGCTAATAATATATGACGAGCGGCGCGGCGAGGTTAACCTAAAAATGTCATCGCTATTTAAAATTGATGGAATTGACTGCCGCATATCAAGAAACCAGAAATATAGGAAGTGCTTGTTTGGACGAGAGTAATAATAATGATGTTAATAATGACATGATAACAGCGATGAGATGATACAATAGCATTTCCTTACATGCACGAGCATGAATCTTACATGTCCAAACTTACACCCAGACAACTTCAATTGAGCAACGAAATTTAGGATGTATTCGACTTTCGTTAGCTTAAACCATCAAGAGAGCTAGCACATTTTAATTCTCTAACTCTTTACGACCTATTTTTAACACACATCCCACACATTCCAATGATGCCCGCCGGTGGATATCTGTGGTATTCCCACAGACAGTGTGTCGGCGTTTGACACTTTCTTCTAAATGTATTAAGTAATTTTAGACGGTTATAAGTCTCCCTGATCAATCTGTTGCTGCCTAGATAAATGCAAACGGAAATCTGAATTCTACAGAGAAGCTGGCGAAATAACGAAAACAGTAAAGAAATCGAAGGTTATCATGGCAAGGTTAATTAGATATTGGTCCTTTAAATAGGGAAATGAAAGCAATCAACGATAACTTGGTTAAAATTTTGTAGGCAGCTGCAGTATAGCACTTCTGCCATTAATGTAGAGCAGCTACAACGCTCTAATGAATTTTTCTTTGATTCTCAGTGACGTGATTTATATCGTTGGACAAGAGTCAATGGATTTGGGTGCGTGGTATGACAGAAAGCTGTATTACTATGTTCAGAATGCATACAAGTTTTCTGAAAGCTTCTCACCTTTCTGTTTCCTTTGCCTCTTCCTCCTTCGTTAGTTTCAGGAATTTCCTTGCACTAGTAAGAAAACAAAGTAGTTTAGAAAAAGCTAAGTCAACCCAATTACAAATCTAAAAAGCCTAAACCAAGTTTGGCTGCGGTATTCACCTTCGGGCCTCTACACATATTTGACAGATTAATAACTTAACCAAAATATGAAGAAAATTTAGAGGGGCTATGTCACACTGAAGCTTGCGCACTGCATTCTTACAAGCGTCAAACAGCCATCGTACCTTATAGTACCGGTAATCGTCTACTGGACAAGAAAGAGGCAGGACACGTCTTGAAAAGGCCAAAAATCAGGAGTAGCAGATAAAATAAACCCGAGCTAAAAAGCCTTAAATCAGCCCAGAAAACTCATACGATGACAACCACCTAGCGAGACAAGTTTTGTCTTAATCAAATAAATTAATAGCTCAGATTTTTTGTTTGAGCGTGCGAAGGTGTTACAGGTTCTTTCATTTCGCCTACTGCGCAACGTAAAAATATTTTTATATTTACGGAGACTCACTGCGCGAGCTTGGGCCATCTACGGTTTTCAATACACTTTAATGTTTTCCCTCTTGCGAAATACATAATAAGGTTCTGTTCTGCCTTTTTAGGGCAAGAATAGAGGTAAAGGCTCACTCTCGGGGAGATTTGCAAAGGGGAAACGCTTCCTTCCTGGCTTTTTTTGTTGTTCAAATATGCTCTTCTGACTCTTTTGCTTCACGCAAGAAAAACCACGCTACTGAGAAAATATGTAAAACTCCTTCGTCCTTTATTGCTTCCACTAAACTAAATGATCCCTTGAATACATGAAAAATTGCAAAATTGTACAATCGACGAGCAGGAGTAATAATTTGTCCCCGGCTTTTTTCGTTTTTGTAGCAAATGCTTTGTGGCTCTAGGAGGCGCAGCCACATATGTCGTCGAGATGAGTGAGTGAGTGTAGCAATAAAATTCCGATCTTGACCCAGTTTTGACCAGATATTTTCCGTTGCTGCTTATTCTTTTTCGGAGCATCTTAGTAGCTCGACATTCCCGCTCGATACACAGTTGAGATTTCTCCTTTTGTGGTTTCTGGCCTACAACCACCAGCGCATTATGTTTTCAGATCTTACCGTGACACTACGGAAGACAGCAGAAAGCAAACTCATAGAAAGTGATAAACATCTCATAGTTATTTCAGGATTACGCGCAATTTAAAGACAAAAGTTTTCCTTGAAGAAATATGTTGATAGGTATGATCAATGCATAATAATACTCATAGGAACATTTTTTTCATTTGAAGAAAGAGCAAATTATGTCGATCCGTAGATATGATTTTTTCAGTTCTTGCCGCTTCACAGTGGTATCCACCGACGCATAATTTAATTTGAACTTTTCCTTGCGGAAATATCTCAATAGACGTGATCTGCACATCATGGAAGCTCTGAGAAAAAATTTTTTCCCTTTGAAAAGAGAGCATTTGAATCAGCGGCTTATGCCGAAAAGGGCAGCTATAAAATTTGCGACGCGAGCTAGCTGCGAACTGAACACTATACATTGAGATATTTGACAGTATGATGCATGATAGAACTGTGGATCGGTGGATCGGTGGATCGGTGGATCGGTGGATCGGTGGATCGGTGGAATACCGGAATATCTAGAGACGCGGAATGAATTTGTGTATGAAGCAAAAGTCTCAAAAAATGGAATTGCGATAAAAAAGAAAGTTGTTTGCAATTGATGGCGAAATGAAAAGACTTACAATAAACTTTCCCCCTTTGATTCATTTAAAATTAAAAGAAGCATAGGTTATCATTGTTGGAACCCAGAGGATAAGGGAACCATGAGGCTTTCAAGCTAGCCCCTTTAAATTATTGTTGTTATCATTATCATCATGAGTGATGATATTATTTGTTACCATTTCATCATTGGTTGAGCATCGATTAGACGATCTATTCTTAAATCATCTTTCTCCTGTGGAACAGGGTACTTATAATTATGTGGGAAGCGGCAGGTTTTCTCTTTCGCCAGTGGGACAAATATTCTGCAACACCACTTTCTAGCCTCATTATACAAACTCTAGTCCTTTTCAGGGCTCGTGCTATGAAAATCGTGTTATACCAGTAGCCACATGCAGTCTATGAATGTCTACTATTTTTTTTCTGCCATATGGCCATATGTTACACATATTTGGCAAATGGTAACTGGTTTATCCCGTTGTGAGGTTTGATTTGACCTTTTTAAGCGATTTTATTCTTTCTTCAAGTACTAGTTGATTTTGTGTTTCTGTTTTGGATACATTTTACAATTATTAAGCTGCTCATATACCATGTTTTGAGGTCTTGCAGATTCCATTTGTTTTAACCTTTCTTTTTGTCACGTATTCACCTTGTGAGCTACAGTATTTCGCTCCTCGGGTGTGGATCTTTGTTTTTCATTCCTTAGCGGCTTCGCAACTTGCTTAAGCACTCCCCCAACAATTCTGCCAGCTACGCACACAAGTTATTACGACCTTGCATGTCAAATCGCCCAAATATTACACAACATATCCCCAAGCAAGCTCTAGTTAGCGCTTCAATAGCGTCCAGTTACACATATATTCAGCAAGGACTTATTCGCTAAACGCTAGATATCAACAATGTACTGTTGCACCGTAAGAGCTTTGTCATAACTTTTAACTAATGAATTTTCTGAGAACTAGTTCCTATTTATTTCCAAAAAGAAATGTTGACTTCTTTCATGATTAAAACAAGCATCAAGTCAGAAGTGTGACATGAACAATTTGCTTGGGGTAAATTGCCATACTGTTCACCTGTCTTTAGATTTCGAGGGGCGGGAGTCTGAGACTAGTCCTGACCCGGCGCCTGTGACTATTTAAACAATAGAGCGTTTCTGTCGAGGAACTATCGGCTGATAGTTGTCCCGCGGAAATTTGATGTTCTTAAAACAAATATGCTAGTTTTAAGAACATCAAATTTCCAAGGGGCA